TCGCCCCCTCCCTTTTAGTCGTTGATGATCCGAGAAGAGATGCTCTTGGTCATAACACAGGCACGGCTAGCCAAGCTCGAACGGCATATAGACATCTTCAAAGACTACATTTGACTCCGGGACTTGGGGGCCGATAACAAGTGCCCACTGGAGTTTGGGGCGGCATGTAGGCGTAAGTAAGTATGGGAATGCATATGTTGTAACCTCCAAGAAGTTGTCGACAAGTTAGCCTGCAGTGGGAAGCTAGGCTCCAGGCGGCCTCTTTCAAAGGCGTGCGTGCCCCTTCGAGAAGAGACGAATGTAGCTGCAATCATTTTGGACTGGATGCTTCGAACATGCCGAAGCGTTTTAAAGCCTAAACGGGCGTTCTATGGGATATGATGGTACACACGGCAAAGGTATCTCGTGTTTGTCTAGATCATCTACTACTTATGCTATGTAGTAGCAGAGACTATAAGGCCAAGACGACTCCGCCGAGCTCTGGGCGCTCTTCCAACTACAGCGAGGGCGTAAATCTTTGACACGATGCCCACAATACTATCAGAGTTGACGGATAGGGGAGTAGTGCCTTCAATTGGTGTAGAAAAGCAGGGTGATAAAGCACGCTCGTACGAAACTCGGGGCACAGAATGAGTGGATGAGCCTAAATAATAGGTACCGCCTCCTCTCCCTCCCTAATTCACGGGAGAACCCCCTTCGCCCCTTTTCGTATAATAATCATCGTCGCCACCTGCGATCTATCGACTCTATGCTTCCCGATAGGCTATCCGCCGCCTGAAAGAACACACCTAAAGGGGGCACTTCTGGGTAACTTCTTCTACGCCTGCCTTGAAAACTCGATTACATATATATAAGAAGAGAAGGTCGGGAGCCGATGCGATCGTCCGTTTCTCTCAGTTTAAATGGATAGAAACATTTCTACCTATGGAGAGGGCAGGTCCCGTCGAATCTTCCCCCCCCGCCCCCCCCGCCACCCATCACCGCTTCGAAGCCCAAGACACCTCCACGAACAAAAATGAAGAAGTCATAATGCAAACCTATCCCGAGACAAGGGCGTAAATTACCGGCACCCTCTACTGCCAAATTAAAGAGCCAAGAACATCATCAAGCCCCTCTAGGGGTTGAAGGGCGAGCTGGTTGCTACCCCTGAATCCAACTTGCTCTTGGATGGTAATACAACGTCCTGTTCCAACATCTTCCATACGTGACAGAAGCGACATCTAGTCTAAGAAGGTATTATAATAGTAATTACCTATACGAAGTGAGAAGATAACATCCAGGAAGCTCCAAGCTTTGCATCCTCGATACGTTAGGATACTGGTATCTCATCTCTAGCTGCACGCGTCCGGGCGATCCATCCACCGTAATGGGTCCATATCACATCAGACGCAACTCGAACAAGGCGCTGGTTGTTTTACTGCGGAAGCCCGAACTGAAGACACCCGCATCCGCTCTCGGTCATGTCCATCTATAGGTACAGGTCGCGATGTCCTAGCGTACGGGATCGCGGAGATCAGTAGGTTACTTAATGAAGGATAGGTTTGATTCCTAACAGCGCTACTTGGTAGTCTTCGTTATTTAGCCCATCTCGCGGGGTGTGGCATAAATTATCGACCACGCCACCTTTCTACTGATGTGAGGTAGTCTTCACGCCTGAACACCGATGCAAGGAGCTCGACGGGCCTCATAGTGAGACAGAGTCTAAGTCTAACCTGTGAGGGTTTCGGAGCCGGGATGTTAATGGAAGGGCTGATTAACTTCACAGCAACTGAATCCCCCCCCGGGAAACTATGTGCTAACATGTTTAGCTTGAACGAGGCTACCGTTTTCACGGTCTCACGCTGACCGCCATCCACAATTAGCTGGCCCTTCGGCCATCCCCCGGGGTTAACTTTGAAGCATATGGAGGAAGGATAGCCCCCAAAGTCGGGCCACGACCTTTATCTTTCTACTGAATTCAAGACGGTAAAGAAGTTCTCATATGGGGTGGGAGAGAGTAGGCATATAACTCCTCTATTGGCATAGTAATCTGCCTGGTTGAGTCGGATTCTCGACGTCTCTCCTTACGGCATCCCATCATCAAGGCAATCATGTATCAAATATCCAACAGCGTGGGTCTATCGCGTGCGTCGGCGTAGGTCGAGCCCGGGAGCACGAATCAAAGCCCGATTTGAGCCGGCTACGTGGATGCGTATCTGCGAGCTGGGGTCCACTATCAGAAACGAGTCTCTCCTTGTCCTTGGGATGTAAGGCTGGTTGTCATCCTTGTCTTCCCCGGATTTAGGAGACGCGGTTGAGCTGCGAAGCTTACATCATGCAAGTGCAGGCATGTCGCTCGAAACCCGTGCGCAATACTACTATGCATGTAGCACTCTAGAGGTATGCCGTAGAGGACATGCAAGGCTGGGATTCCTGTAGGAAAACCCTAGCTAGGCAGACGCTGTCTTGGGGCGTAGCCCGAAGCTATCGTCGGCTAGGCAGCGAAGTTCCAACGCGACCCCGTTCGATGCCCGAGTCCGCGGCTCTCGACCTCTGGATCGTGTTCCTTACATCGTGTCACCCACGTATGTATCCGACCTGCCGAAATAGAGGAACAGACGGACGCCTCGGCCAAGTCGTGGGTGAACCAGTATCCATCGTAACCGTTCAGACCGTAGGTACCGTGTGATATGGCTGAGCGCTCTGAAGGCGAACATATGCCATCATGTTGAGTTCAGAGACCAATGGCCTGCGTTGACCATAGTGTCCTTCCTTTAAGACACGACGGAGATGTTGATACACCGTCGTGGGAGCAAGCCATTGGTTGGGGCCTCCCTCTCCGTCTCGTACCGGTCAACAGGGGAATAGTGTACGTTGGCACGCTCTCCACGTGCCAGCGGGTTTGAAATCTCATTACGGCCGCCTACGGCAGAAGGTTGTGTTCTAGACTGACGGTGTTGTCCGCGAGATTCGGTAAGACGCAGGAGCATTGCCTAGGACCATTCCTCCCGCCCGTACGGGTTGGGCCTTTGGTAAGCTAGAATGAGACAATATCTACCAGAACGAGCGTCGGCTCGGAGTCCGAGGGCCGCTCTCTTCTCGGCCATTTCTTTTTCATGTGGCGTATTAGTTGGACGCTGGATGGCGCGTATCCCCCCGCTTTCCCATCCTACAAGCCCTGCTTGACGTGGCCGAACGAAATGATGGGGAGGTTGGAGTTGAGTGAAGATGCGGGTTGGAAATCATGAGGCGTCGTGCCGCGGGTCGCTATTAGGTAGGTAGTACCTACATCGCAGCAGATCTAGGATTGGCCTCTAGCCTTGTATGCCCTAGAATTGTACGAGGGGTTTAAAAACGGCATTACCTCTTTTCGCCGGCTTCATTTCCGCGCAGGCAATTAGTGAGAAAGAAAATGGCGAAGCCCGGCGCACTGGGTTCGGATACTCGGTTGAACACGTCGTAGAGGAATCGTCCGCGGTAGTGAAGGAGTTGGTAATACGTCTTGCTCCGGCTTCTACCGACACCATTGAGGTAGGCATTTTCATCCTTTCCAGCACTGAATCAACCTATAGGGAAGGTAAGTTGCCGGCGCGCCGAGGGCGAAGCTCCCGGTGTGTCAATGGAGTCGAATTGATATGACGTGAGATCGCTCGGTCGAGTACGTCGTGGGTATCTCCTTTTCCAACGGTGGCATACAAGGGCGCGTCGCCAAGAACGTCATGGGCTAGAAAGATAAACATATTTCCCCATTCGACAAGCACATTGCATGGAGCGTGAAAGGGAGGATGGTGATCAACGCAGGGTTTGTGCGCTTTGGTGAGGTTCCCAGGATGGAGGCGCCGGGGTCTCGTGTACGTAGAGATTAATCAAAGACACCCTAGATTCAGCCCTAAACCCGTTTGAAGGCGTAACGCGGAACATGGGGTCGACCCGTCGGCTTGACCTCACTGGTGTGATCGGCGGGTTGTCGCTTTTTCTTACATCCCGGGCTGGCCTTCGCTTGCGAAACTAGGACTTCGTGGGATGCCTTAGGGGGGCACGCAACCCGGCAGGTCGATCTGGAATATGCTAACCATCTTACGGGCTGATCATTCTGCTGGGAAGGTCATGCGCTCAGCAGCGTCGGGAGCCCTTCATTTGGAATTTCTCCGTCTCTCTCCACCCGAGAGCGAAGCCGCCGCAGTCGGGTATGGCTCGTCGGTATCGAAGAGAGAAGCTGGGTACGGCCAACCGTGGGTGTAAGTGACCGACGCGAGCGAGGGGGAGGCCCTGCATAAGAGTTCATGGCACATAATAAAACATGGTTCTGCATAGGCAGGACTAATTTAGAGGAGGTCAATATCGTTTGCCAATATAACAACATTTCGCATAAATAATTTCGTCCGGACAGTGGTGCGAAGGTGGCTGAGCCTTACCCTGACTCCTGAAAACCGGACAATTCTCTTCACAAGCCAGCAGCCCGCGACGCTAATCATTCCGTCGGCTATGCCGAAGCCACTACTCGCAGAGACCGAGGGATTTTTTTTCAACCCGAAAAAAAAATCTTTCAAGTATATACAGCATACGAAGATAGTAAAGGAAATAAGGAAAACGACGAGGGGGAGGGGGTTTTTCCACTCAAATGGAGGGGAGGGGGGGGAGGGAGGGGTGCTAGGAAACAAAGGTCTCTAGACAGACCCAGATAACATGCAGGGGAATACCCAGCGACGGACATGGAGTTCGGAAAAATAGAATAAGGAGATCGTAAAGTCGTAACTAAAGCAACACTATCCTCCAGGCACACCTCGGTCGTTCGCGAAACCAGGTATATCCTTTCCTTTTCAAAACACAGCCATCCGTGTACAGAGAAAGAGAGGAAGGGTATGCCGAAACACTTCAACATAAGTCCAAATTATCAGCTAGGAATATTGCCAAGATGCATCCATCTCTAGGCGCCAGTTCAAGGGGAAAAACAAGAATAAGCTGTGATGTTCAGCCACTCGCCCTAAAAAAAATCCACGCAGGCTCCTCCGGAGCCACCGCTCGTGCCTCAGTCTGTCATAGCAATGTTAGGATTTGCAGAGCTGCCTCCTTGTCCGCAAGGGACGGAAAAAAAAAAAAAAAGGAGAAGGATTCTTGCCCACGACCCGGCAAGTACGTTTGAAATATGCGTGTATCCGTTTATCGACGATGTTCGGGTGGTACGTTTTCGCCGTAAAACCCTCCCTGGCTCCCAGACGCCAGGCAGGCGAGGCAGACGCCTCCACCGTAGACGCGGGTATGCCGCTTCCAGCCCGCGCCCGAGTCGTCCACAACCGAAATGATCTCGCCCTGGACGTCGATCTCCCTAGATTCCAGTGACTCATGTGGCGCGAGGGGCAAGATCGGGCTCGACGAAGGGAACGAGCTGGGCGAGAAGGATGCCCCGTCATGCTCCGAGGCTGAGTGAGCCAACCCCAGGGGAAGCACTCTCGTGTAAGACCTCCTCCTCGGGACGGAAGAGGACTCCTGGCCGTGGGGCAGCGCAGTCGAGGTCGATTCAGACGAGGGTGACAGCGTGTAGTCCGGGTTCGGCTGGTGAAAGAAGCTCGTGTCCAGGTCACTCAGCCCCATGTTAGATGCCGCAAAGCTTAGCCGGCGATCCTGAAATGGGAACACTCCTGTCGACAGAGTAGGCGGTGTTAGCGGCGGCGGCAGCAGAGGGCCGGGCTTGAGGATCAGTAGCGTGCCTGTGTCTGAGCTTAGAGGAGGAGCTGTCTCGTCCTGAACAGACCCTCTGTCTTCTTGCTGCCGGGACCCGTCCTCGATATGCTCCTGTCTCCCATCGCTCGGATCTTGGTCTGCCCCCAGCCGGGCGATTCCCGACTCCTGATGGCTGGACATGATCTGGTTCTGGTTGCTGATTCCACTTGACTTCTCTGAGGTCCAGAGTCTCTGGAGAGTAGTCCCGCCAGGATCTCCCTTGCCCAGGGCAGAGCGAGGGAGTGCTTTATATCTTCTCCTCCTGGTCTCCAACACGAACCGCAACACACCGAGACATATGAGTCCAAGAGAGATGAGGCCAATATTGAGTAAGAGCCGCAGCTGCCCCCCTGGTACGGGGCTTAGGGCGACGTTACCATGGGTCCGTTGCCGAGGGAGATTGACCGCGGGCATGCTTGCTGATTAGGGAAACTAATAATGCGATGTGCCTCCTGTGCCCTCTAGCTTCGGGCCTTCGCCGATGTAGCTTGTACTAGTAAACAGAAGCTTCGAGGGGGGAGGCCGGCCTGTCGATCGGGACAGCCTAAGGACTGAACAAGGATTCCCGCTGAGTAAAGCGGGATTGGACACGATGCTGAGAAACCATCCAATATGCGCGCAGGCATGAAGTGGCCCACCGGGCACGCAGGTAAAGGAAACGGATGCGTATGCGTATGCGTACGCGTATGGCCTTGTTGACCTGGTCAACGAGAGATAGATGCAGTCGCGGTCGTTCGGTCCACGGGCCAGCAAGCTTCCACCAACAAGGCTTTGTTGGCAGCTTATCAGTTTGGGGTCCGATGTGAAAGGGGAGGGGGGACAGGGAAAGGTAAATGGCTCGCGTCTACAAGAAGCAGGTAGAGGAGCCGGTTGAGGGATGGATTTGATAGTTAATAAAGCTTACACCGCGAGGGAATCAAGCTCTTGTGGACCATCTATACGACTGCTCCGGAGACGAAGGAGAGGGGCCGGGCGAATTCGAGTAGTATTTGAAGATGACAAAGAGACTTCGAAGACGGGAAGAGAGGAAAATTTTATAGAGAGAGCACCGGGAGCAAGCATCATATCAACGGGAGACCCGTCATCAGGGCACCGACCCGACTATGACAGGGGACGTGGACTACATTATCTGCTATACGGAGGAAGTATAACGAGGGCAAACAGATCTGGGGAGGGTGTGAACGTAAGTGGAGAGAAAGTGGATATGAAATAAAGTAGCTACTTTCCTTTTCGAGGCTCGTCGTACTCGTCAGTCAGCCTCAAATTCAAGATATAGATGCCCAGCGACTTGCCTCTTCCAACTCGATGTGTCAGGAGTAAGGGCTGTCATTGGGCGGGCAGGCGCGGACCGCATGAGGACGTCCATCGTGGGCCTGGCTGTCTGTATAGCAAGGTGGCCCTGACTGATATACTGACGGGGTATACTGGGTAGCGGAACTCCGACTGATCGGGAGGAGGACGAAGGAACGCGGTTAGGTACCCAAGTCAGTGCTCAACACAGACACAGACATACACACATACACACACACCACGTGTGCGCGCGCATACACTACCTATTCGTACATACGTAGCACATGTTGGTTCTTCTTCATAGGCCAAGCCCTTTTTCTTCTTCCGTGGCCAAGCTAGACGGCAACGAGGCGATTCATCGTGCGTACGTAACTGGTCGGGAGGGGGGGGGGGGGGGGGGGGGGGGGAAGGGGGAAAACCCACAGTCCCGCATCTACAACTTGGCCGCGGATAATGCATGGTAGACGTAGGTAATTCCCAAATACACAAAATCACGCTGTCAGCTTGGCCTCTGTGTCGGGATCTGTCCGGCGACTTCGGTCAACAGGGTTTGAGAAGACGAGGTGAGAACATCCCGGTGCACCCCTGGGATGAGGTGTGAAGAAAGGGAAAAATAAAAGGCTATGTAAGTGATGTGGGACGCAGGAAACCAACTGGCACATAAACATGCGCACGCCTTTGGGGCCGTTGCTCCTGGGAATCAGACAAACCAAGATAGAGATCCTGGTCGATTTTCAGCCCAATAAGAACCAGGTCTGTCCGGACTATATGTGTCGTGTGTGGAGTGTCGTGGACCAGTTAGAGGCTTTGGGAAATCGTCGTGCACGTCTGGAAGAGGTGTGTAAGTGCTAGGAGGAGGACACTGAAGAACCGGGAGCGGAGGAGAAGCTGGTCGTTCCGACCCTGCTGTAGCGTTGGCGGCGCCTCTTGAGTACATACATACTTACATGCTCACACGCCTACCTATACAGGGTGACGCTGTCTTGTTAGCGTCAGCCAGTGCTCACGGATTGCTTGCGTCTTGCTAGATTAGGGAGCGAAGGGCGGGGGCAATGTTCTGATGGCCCTCACCAGACAGCAGCAGCATAGACATGCGTTTTGGTCGAGCCAGCTGAAGAGCGATCCAATGGAACGAACTAGTAGGGATGGTACTCGAGGTTGGTGCCATGGAAATGCACGGCATGTGAGCATAACAAGTTCCCCGTTCCCCATCTCTCGATCTCTTGAGTAAAACCGCCCCCGTTCTAGTGCCCAGGCTAGAAGCAGGTCGTGGATAGCTGACCTTCCGGCCTGCGTACCGAGACGTGGTGCACAGTACGTAGGCATGATCGACGATGAGACGCTTAGAGCGGGCAGTGCAAGCAACCCAAAGCGCCTTATTACTAAACTAGATGGCAATGGCGTCAGGCAGCGCGGCCAATCCGCTGAAAAGGGAAGCGAGAAGCCTGTCTAGCAAGTTGCCATACGCCGAAACAAAGGCGGGAGAGAGGAGAGCCCTGTGGCCCGGGACCCAGCGCGGAACGTGTCCCCTTACACGCCTAGGCCTTCTGATGGGCCTTTGCACCTGTCTGGGTTTATTGTGACGATAACTTCTAGAACAGGCTAGTCTAACCTACTCACCTATAGTAGAGCCGAGTCCTAGCGAGTGGACGGCGGGGGGTTCAGCTGGGCTGAGGTGAGCCCTACGGCCACCCTAGCGACTTGGATAACCTGGTAGTCGATCCCCCAGGGCCCTGGGGCGGGGAGGGGTGGTGTAGGGTGCGGACAGTATATGCGCACACCATACACACACGCACATATATATGTGCGTGTGTGCGTGTGTGTACATAGAGAAACACGCCTACATATGTAGGCAGGTATGTGACAGGTCACAGGTATAGCACATGTATAGGTAGGCATGTAGCAGCGATGACGATTGTGGTGATGATGGTGATGGTGGTGATGGTGGTGTTGGTGTTGGTGGCAGGACGTCAGTATCAGAACGACAAACATCAAGCATCGCGTCTGTCCCTTGTCTGAGCAAACTAACTGCCTGACGAGTGGGACGCACATGAAGAACACAGCCTGCGAGTCACTTCGAATAGCGGCTCGTAGCGTGCGTGATGGGTGGTGGGTGGTGGGTTGCCGGCTTTCGGTAGCCCTTTTTAGGGTACTTAACTGGCCAGGCTCCCTACCGGGTTCCCCCATTCCTGTACGTGGGCATGTGGATCGAGTTCGATGATAAAGCCGGTCCGGTAGCTAGCAAGGTCAACAGCACGCCTGCCGCCGAGCAGGGAAATCCCAGAGTATGGATTCGCGTACGAGACTCTCGATATACCTACCTACGACGTGTGGTAGCTTGGCCAGCATCGGCCGTGCCTCGCCGGGTCAGCGAGTAATAAGCAGCATGCGCGGTCATGCACTGTACGGACGTGCAAACCCGCCAAGGCATACGTAGGTCGCAGTGCTCCTCTCCCCTGTCATATTCACAAACTCCGTTGCCATTCGAAATGTGTGTGCTCCCGGCCGCCTCTTGCATGATGCTTTGGCAGGACTCATCGCGAACGATCCACGCTATCCTGGCACCCCGAGCGCGATATTGTACGTACTCGTCTGGGCGGATTTGTGCCGGGGGAGGGGAGTGGGCTTGTCGACGCGCCAGAGGCACAGAAGCTACTGCACGGACAGGCAAGGTTGGCGGCACAGCATGTATGTACATGTGTATGTACGATGTAAGTGCCGCTGGCGTTTGGAAAGATCTTGGTTACATCCGTAGGTGGCTGGTCTTTACGTCGATGGTGATGATGAGGGTGCCGATGCATGCGTGTACAGAGCGAATCCCGCATCTGTTCTATACGAAATCACCTACCCGCGGAGTCTAAAAGGGAGGGGGGAGGGGGGGGGGGCGGAAACAGGAGAGAGAGAGAGAGCTTACTAGAGGCATTGCGCATGGGTATTACTGGCTACGGGCAGATGGGGGCGGAAGCGTAACAAGATCGTGAAGGCGAGTAGGGCTAAGGTGGTAGGTCCTTGTCAGCGGCTCGAAGACAGGGGGTGGGTGTGGATGGCGGCGGGAAGAGGAAAAACTCGAGCAGGTCATTCAGCTCTACAGATCCCAGTCGACAACTCCTAATTCGTCAATTCTCGTCCGCCTCTCTTCGTCTCCTTTTTCTCCTCCCGTCAGTCTCTCTCGCGTCCACCCAGATCGACATCGCCTACGAGGCTCAAGCCTGCATCAATACAACCCCACACAACTCTATTCATCCGTCCTGTTGCCCTTCGTTCCTCACGAATCGTCCTTCTGCATTGGTTTAGTTCAATTTATGCATGTGGCTGTTGTCCCCTTCTTGCCCCCTCCCGTATCTCGTATGATAGGACGGTTCCTTGTTTTATAACGTGCCGGGAGTCCTAGTAATCGCCAGGATCTCCGTGTGTAGTCTCTCCAGAAGAGCCTCCCAACCTCTCTTTTCCTTGGGTAGTCAATCCCCGAAACTTATACCTATACAGTTCTCCCTCGTCTAGTCTGGCTGGAGAGCGGCGAATGAGCAGGCCAACTCACCTTGCCACTAAGCTCTGTATATCTAAGAGGCTTGCTAACTGAACCCTTGCCTACTCGTATCGGGCACGCATCCTTGGCTATCGTCGTAGAACGAGATCTCCGCTGATCTCTGCTGCATGGCTTTTTTTTTCTGCTTTCATGGTCACGCTGGTAGTGACCTTTTTTTTTTCTTCTTCCCGTTTTCTTACCCATGGTGGACTACACCGCCTCTCCCTATCGTGAACCCAATGGTGGGCCTAGAGGGCCATTCTTAGTTGCTTTTGCGATGGCGAAAGTTCCGGTCCAGATATGTCATCGCCGGGACGCGCAAGCCTAGATGATAGGCAATGGGCGGAGTCGACCCTGGAACCAAACACGAGTAAACAACCCCCCCCCCCCCCCCCCGAACAGGACACGGCCCCTTCTCATCTACTCGACGCCGTGCGAGACAGGGAAAAGACGCTACCTTCCGCGTTGCAGTCCTCCCCGGTCGTTCACCTTCGAGATTGACCTTGACCGCCTCTTGTTTACCGTGGACCAAACTATCCGAACTCGTCTACCCCTAGGTATTAGGCCGATACGACTTAACTGGGGGTGTTTCGCCGACGTCGTGCTACTGTCCTCTCTATCCTCTTCGACTCTAGGCTCTTGGGTTTTGGTCCGGTGACATCCAATCGGACATTTAGCCGAGCATGCTATGGGGCGAAGAACATATGTCTATACCCATTACCCGGCAGCACTACCCACATTGGCTCTCCGCCCTCTTCGGAAGCCCATCCAGATTTTTCATCCTCACCGTGCGCTGGACGAGAGAGGTGCCCGCGGCAAATCACATGGGAGAGCTGGCGCTTAGCTTATCCCCTTATGTCCCTTCGACTCTCGCATCCCGCGGCTGGAGCACCCAATTGCCATCCTGTACGTCGGCTTATCGAGCACAGTCGTCGTCTATCGATTCTAGAGCACTTCTCCACCAACATGCCCCATGTCACCAATCACAGTGGCTTCGGCATCATCTCGCGTGTGCAGTGTCTCCTCTCA